AAAGATAGCAATTACTCATGAGCATCATTCACCATCTCGAGAATTCCTTGTAAAATAAGAGATTAAAGACACTGTTTAAAAGCCCAGTCACACATGATTTTTCCCCTCTCTGTGTCTATGGACAGATCAGGAGATGGACTGTGGGGCAAACAAGGCAAACAGTCTTGTGAGTATTAAAACCTTGTACAAGATGGTACTTCTGGAGCTCAGTTCCTTCAAAAACATGCTCCACTAGCAAGGCCAGCCTCTCCCTTAACCAGCTTCCTGACCCAGCCGTGCAGAGCTACCAGACTAAAGGAATCTGAGAGGAACCTGAAGCTCTGCTGAAAATTTAGTCCCAAGAACAAAGTCTGCAAAAATCACTTTGTTCCAACCCTCAGCTGAGAACTGCACAGGTAACCCCAGGCTCAGCTCCCATGCCATTGGGGAACATCTGGCTGCATTTTCAGGGCTTCTGCATTTTAAAGAGGTCAGATTAGAAAGTGAAATGGTCACATTATTCCCTCTTATAAGAGTGGGAAGGCAGGGCCTGGATCTGCTAGGAAAGGAAAGAAAGAAAAACAGCAAGTCTCTACCACACCACCCATTTCCTCTTGGCTTGAATCGTGGATGTTTTGATGTGTAAATTTAGAGAAAACGGAGCTGGGTCGGCACCAGCACAGATCTGGCTGACGCAGAGAGGTTCAAGGGCAGAGCAGTCACAGCTTTTCAGGGCAAGTGGGGTTTTTGGGCCTTTTTTTTAACAATTGCAGGGAGGGAGGCAAAATAAAAAGAATAAGGCAGAAGGTCTGGAAGGACACACATGCAGAGAGCTACTTTTCCTGGAGGAACAACACATGCCCTCAGATACTTCTGGACACTTTGAACTTGAAAGCACATAGGACAATGGGATTTTGAAAACTGAAGTCAAAGGAAAGCAGAAAGTTGCCAGATGAAGCTTCTGAAAAGGAAATTCTTGTTCAAAACAAAACAAAGCACAGAACGACAGATGGGCCTGTTCCTGTCAGAGGTGCAGTTCTGTTAACAGAGGTTCTTTCAACTGTTTAGGTTGGAAAAGACCTGTAAGATCATCGAATCCAACCATTGGTTACCCCACTGAACCACGTCCCCAAGCACCATGTGTGGGGGATGCTCACACTGGGTGTTCCAGTCTGCCACTGCTGTCATGTAGAGCACCCCCAAGAAGAACAGCAGGTTGACTCGGCCCAGAATGAGACCACAGTCCTAGTGGAAATTTGACTGGAGACCCATCATTTACATCCACTGCTCCTCCCAGTACACAAAGGTACTCTTTCAGACACTGAGGCCAGGAAACAACTCCATCTTTCCAGGTGCTCACAAGCCAGGAATGGACAGAAGGAAGGGGAGAAAGAGGGAGCCACCAACATGCTGCTTCCAAACCAACATAAGAAGGAATAGAACAGAACTCAACTGAATCCCCCCCGTCCAGGACTTGACCACCACATTCAGTCCATTGCAACATGAGCTGACCTGCAGAGCCCTGGGAAGTTCTGCCCCCCGACAGCACAAAACCAGTGATGCTCTTTGAACCATGCCCAGCCGTGTTTAAAGCACACAGGAAGCAGCTCAGCTTCATCCAATGTTTTTTAATTTTGAGGTTTCATATTACTAGTTCTAGCCACATTTCATACTCTGTCCCAAGATCTGGGGTTAGCAGATTACTTGAGGCTGCCTTACCTTCACTGCCACATGGAGCTTGGCTGTTTTCTTAGAAGGTCCTGATGCTTCATAAGTCGTACCATCAACATCTACAGACATTGTGAAGACTGGGGCATGGACTGGACCAGACTGTGACAGCAGCTTATACTGAAGCCCTGGCCTGATTTGGTTCAGCCTCATCAGAGCATTCATGAGATCTATTGCTTTACTATCTAGTACTAGTACAAGATAGTAGAAAGGGTGGGGGAAGGAGGGGGAAGGAAAATGAACAAAACAAGATGAACAGAAAAATGAAACAGTTTGCATTTCAGTGCCTTCTGTTTGTATCAAGGAGCAAAACCACCCCTTGGCCTCTCAGAGGGTGAGGAGAGCCATAACGCTGTTAAGGCTTTAATAAGATTCATTATATCATTTAATATAAACTATATTATTTAATAAGTCTAATTTGGGGTAGCAACTATAATTACCCGGTTTTTATATTAACACAACTCTTTTGCAGCTAGCTGTACTCTTCCTGGCTGCTATAAAAGGAGTAACAAGTTTTATAGGTAGTGGGGAACAAGGTCCAGAGCTGGCACCCAGGTAGCACGATGCAAACAGGCCCCAGAAGGACTGGATCCCAGCAATGCCAACAGACTTCCAGTCTGTGCCCATATGCAACATTAACGTTTTATAGATCAAACATTTTTTTTTTTTTTTTGTGGGAGGTCTTGGGAGACCAAGAAGGGTAATAATGCAGAGTCCAATCTTCACTCAGCAAAGTCAGTGCAGAACTTTGAAAAACCCACAGTACAGGGACATTATCAATAAAATCCCTCAGCTGCTTGGACAACTTCAATTCTAGTGTAACTTGATGGGTAATCCCAGTTAAAAATGCAAATCATTCAGTTAGTAAAACATGTCAGGGGAAATTCAGATGCACAGTAAGAGATGTGTTTGACATTCCAAATGCGGGGTGATAGAGACAACATCTTTTTGTTCCAAAGACTTTTTCACATGCTCTACCACACCAACACGGAGAAGCTTTTAAAGCAGCTCCCCCTGTACAATAGATCTTTGAAAACAGAATGGAGAAGTGCTGCACTTACTTTTCCTCAGATTACGCTTCATCTTTTTATTTGGATCCTTGTCATCCCCGACACTGTCTTCAAAGGGTCTCTTCAGAGCAGACGAGCCTGTACCTGGGGTATAAAGTTCCTTGTAATATGGATATGCCATTAGAAAAACAACATTCCACAGCAGGAGTCTGATTAGTCCCACACGGTTCCTTGCTTGTTTATAGTGACAAGAACTCATCCATCAGTCACAGCTCTCTTATTGCTGCACAGAAGCCAATATTGGTTTACTGCTCAGTGCACCAGGCCATGCAGGACGTCTGTGGCCAATATCAGGTGGGAGACAAGCCCTGCAAACCTGCAGGGCTGTTTTCCACAGTTAGTCTTAAGGCAAAAACTCCACCAGTATTGTTTTTACAAAAAATACAAGTGGAAATTTATTTTTATTAGATGTATATTGTTTTCTAGGAAGAATGCTTGGGTAATTCTTATTATGGACACTCATTATATGCTTTTTGACAGTTTATAGTCTTTCCAGCATAAGAAACAAATGCTACTTCTGCTCTTCTTTCTGCTTAAAGAAATTCAGCAGCTATATTGTAGATGTACCCCTACTCCTCTCTTGGTATTTCTAGAGAAGAGAAATTCCAGATTTTCTCCTAACTATGAAATATTTTTTTTTAAAAATCACCCCACATATAACATAAAGAAAAGCCTCTATTTCGCATTCACAGCACACAACTCAGGAACTTCACTCATTCTATATTAACCCCTAGTTTACTACCCAGTCAGTGATTTTTGGAACAAATGATACCTACCTTCTTTGTCAGTTACTGACCAGGAATATTTCTGAAATGACTTATTGGATGGGAGGGGATCCATTTCCAACACCTTATAGATCTGCCCAAAGGCTGATAGTCTGAGGGCATGCTGCAGGGGGACAGGAGAAACAGGGGTTACATCCCAGCAGGACTGATTGTCAGCTGGCCAAGTTTGTAGATAAGTCTGTAGACACAAATCCCCTCCTCTGAGGAGGCAGCTTCTCCAGCTGGGGAGAATGGCACTGTCCAAAAACATGCAACTGGTTAATTCCTGGAACACAGGGTGTGGGAGCAGCACCTCCCTGAGGGGAGCCCACCCAGGGCTCTGTGCCACAGGCAGCAAGGTGGGATGTGAGCAGGGCACAGGCATCCCACTGCCTGAGGGGATTCACACACACTGAACTCCTGCACTCCTGAACTGGGGTTAACCTGGCCAGGGTAGCACCCACAAGAACTGTCAGGACTGCCATGGAATAAGTTCCCATGGCAGAGGATAACTGGTGCTGCTGAGCTGCTCTCCCTGCTGCAGCCCATCTGCAGGGTGTCCTACCTGGGCACTGTGTGTAATGGCTTCTTTTTGCTGCACTGTCATGTCAGACAAAGCGTCCGTGGGCTCGCGCTCGCAGGGGTCGTGCAGACCCGGCCCTCCTGGTGGGGAGAGAGGCAAAGGGATTACTGGGAGGGAAGAGGAGCAATATGGAAACAGGGGCTGACAGGGAATGCTGCAGGCTGGGACTGGCTGCTGCAGAGTGGGGAGCACACCTTCTCCAGCAGGGAGTCAGACCTCATACAGAGCAAGCTGACCCCGAGGTTTTAATCCTTGCAGTAATGGCCAGAGAACTTAGCAGGGTAATGCTGCACGTGTGTGATAACATGAACTGAAAGCAGTAGGTTTAAAAATAAAAAAATCCAAATAATTTGGACAGCTACATAGTCTATTTATTTGTAACCTCTTAATGAGATCGGGGTTAATTTATACACATTCCTTTCATCTCCCATTAACCTCTCCTGCAGTGGCAGTACTCATTCACACAGTGACCACCATGCAACCTCCTTTTTTTTTATTTTAATTTTACACAAGAAACCATTAGTTTCACTCCACAGCAGATTCAGAGTCCAAGGCAGGCATTTCTCATCTAATCCTCCAGCAAGAGCTAAATTTAAAGCTGGCTGATCAACCCCTCGTGTTCCTGGAGTTCATTTGGCCCCTTACCGGGAAGCAGAATTCCAGATGCCAAACACTCCATGACTCGTCGCAACGCTTCCCCAGCGCCCAGAGGTCTATTACAAGTACCTATAGATTTTTCACATATAAGCTCGAGTGGCTAGAAGACATTAAATTACGATTAGTATGGACACAAGGGTAACTGTGACTGCAGTTAAATATGGAGGGGCAGAGGGGAAGAACATTCACATCAGGTTACTCATTTTTAATCCACTACAGGTCTAACGGACAGGCCCATCCCAGAGGAGGCCACGTCCTCGTTCATGGCACACGTCTTTGTCCCCTGCTCTGAGCTGCCTTCAGAGGACACCAACTGCTCTCCGCTGCCTGCCCAGGAAGTTGAGAAGGAGGAGCCTCTCAAGCCAGGTCAGGTGAGTGTTCTGCGCCTCTCAGAGGGTTTTCAGAGAGAAACACCAGCACCACTGACCTACAGTGTTCCTCTCTGGGCATGAGAGCAAACCTGCCCCTCTGGAAGAGTAAGAGCTGCTGGCAGGAGGGGCACTGTCATGGGAGTAGGGTTCTTTTGGAAAGCTAAGCAAGAGGGACTGAAGGCAATGAGTGGGATTCTCTTGCAAATGCTCAGGGCTGCATGAGGCCCACAGCAGTGTGTGTCCTTCATGGCATCAGTACACGTGACAGACTGAAGGAATACTCTCCTTCTCTTCCCTACACAGGGAGAAAAGGGTAAGGGCTTTAAGGAGGAGTCTCATACAGGACACTGCTCTCTCCAGTCCAGACATTGCTACCAGTCTCAGGAGATGAGACCTGACCTCGTGGCCTTCAGCTCTTTCTGTACTTACCCAGCCTTTCAGTGGTGCCCATGTGGGGACTCTGTTGCACAAATCCCGCAGAATACGAAGGACAATTACACATGACTTTAGTCCATTTGCCCTGGCCTAAAACAAACAAAATGATTCCAATACACCTGCAAAAGCCTGGCCTTCAATTTTGCTTTTCTTTTTAAATGCACAGAGTCCTGGGATAGATTTTTTTTTTTTAATTATTATTACTTAATACTTAATCGGCTTCATGCAAAATAAAAACACTTCTATAAAAGTACAAGACTTGAATTTAGAGAGACATATAAAAAAAAGGAAGCGAAATGTCAAGATTGCTTTTGTAGCCTCATGACAACTCTGGACCAGCTGGCTGTCTCCCTGCCACGTTTGCCCTCGCACAGTACAGCACTGGGGGTCGGAATTCTAGACCTTTGCTCTAGGAGGGACTAGTCAGAAATTAAAGAGGCATTAAAATTAAAAGTGTCTCAAATTAAAACCTCGTTAAGGCTACAATAACAACAAGGTAAGAACAAATAGCCAACCTGAAACCATTTGGCGTGCCGCAGAGACGCCAAGGCCTCCAGGCATTTCTGCCTGTCCAATAAGTCCGGAGGATCTTTCATCGCAACATTATCTACTGGTAAAAATGGGATAAAAAGAGACAGATACAATTTGACCAAGGGGTTTCTGTCACAATACAAAAAGAGCGGCAGCATCTCAATGAGATAATAAGACTCCCAGAATTTTAAGTGCACTGTGTTATTTAATTTAAACAAGCCATTAAAGGTAGTAAATGTGCACGTGTGCAACAGAAGCAAAGGCATTCACTCCTTGTAAAATAATAGTAATAATAAAGGTGGCCACTGCTACAGACAATCTGGGATCTTATTAAAAATGTAGAACACATTTCAGGGCAGAAAATAGCTATATAGCACTTTTCCTTTTTTTTTTTTCCTGTTAGGATGTATTGGGCTTTTTTTCTTCTTCTTTTCCTTCTTTGTGACTTTTATTCCACAAAGGTGGCACAGAATTTCAAAGCTTCTTTGGACAAGAGGAAGATATTCTCAGGGGGGTATAAAAAAATTGTAATAGCAAGTGAAGTTACATCCATGCAATTGTTGAGAATTCCAGAGAAAAACACTGAATATATTTGAAATAGTATTGCATGGACAGTACTAGCCAGTATAATTCAGCAAAAGAAATACATGGGAAATGCTAGTACAATATTGTAGTTTGATTAGTCTTTCATATAACCAGAGCATATGAAAGAGTGAGAGAGTTTGGTAACTTCCACATCATGAATGGATTCGACAGGAAGTGCCCTCTTGTAAAAATCTGCCCAACAGCAACTGAAATCAACAGAGGAGGTTCAAAGATGCATTTGAGAGACAAGACACTGGTATTTTCTGTGCAGGTTTACACTTTTTTTTCCCTCTTTTTCTTTTTTTCATCCAGCTTGCAACAAACTGCCTTTAGCAGTCACATCTGAGTCTGTGTTAAGGGACATTATGCGTCAGTCCCTTCTTCCCTATTTATTTATTGTAATCCTAAGGAGTTCATAGCATTCAGATTCTCTGGAAACTGTACAATTGACAGATTTTGCACATCTCTGAAATCAGATTACAAAGGTACTAGTTTTAGCTGACATGAGAAGAACACGCTGGAAGAACTAAATGAACCCATGACTCAACTAAAACCTTCAATATGTTATTTTTCTATGATTACACCATTACTGTTGACTTAAAAATAAATATACTCTTTTCATTACTCATAATGGTCTTTAAGACACCTTGCAGAACTGAATGAAATACAAAATCCATTTCAAATGGAAGACTCTGCTAGATAAGCCAAGTCCAGCAAGACATTTAAAATACCAGGACAAGGTAGGAGAAAAAAGTACCATCAGTTTGTAGTTGAAATTATTAGTGACATCTTATTAATGACATCTCCAAGTACATTTTCAGGGGTTACTTTGAACAGTATTGGCTGCACGAGCAATTGCACCTTTAATGTTAAAGCTGCCTCCCCTCCTATGCCCTTCCCTGGGAAGGTTGCTCTGATAAAAGCACTTTATGTTATGATGGAAAAAAGAGCCCAGAGCCAAAAACCCCCCCCGAGTGTAAAACTGAACAGAACCAGTATCTTGTCTGACAGGTGATGGCTGCAGTTCACAGCTGCTGGCTCAAGTGCTATAAGCTTATTTTCTAACCCCTGTGAACTTCGCAGCAGATATTTGCATTGTTTGTTATTGCCCTCATCAACAGCATTCCAGGATTGGGATTAATCACTCCTCTTGTCTCTTTTCCAAATGAAGGCTGCAAAGCCTCAAAGCACTGGATTTCTTTGAGCACAAAAGGTCACTTTGGAACGCAAGATTTGTTTTTAAATTTCCTTTGCAGTTTCGTTCTTTCCAGGAGTGACGTTTTGTGGCACATGATTACTGAACATCCATCCGTGTATTTCTGTGAGGAAACTTCACTGGGACAATATAAACATCTGCTTAAAGCTCAAGTATTGTATCAAACAAGTACTGTCAATGAATGATCAGAATCTTATTTTAAAACGTTAGAAATGGCAAAGGTGACTGACTGCAAAATGATTAATTTTTTGCAATGAACTGGGACTCTAAAGTGTTGCTAAAGCATGTTGCAGCCATTGACAAAGTAATTTAATTTTTCCTTTAACTTAAAAACAAACAGAGTAAGTGTCATCTGTCATTCAGGTGAACCAAAAACCTCCTAAGATTTGCTTCAACAAGTTAGAATCATACTTCTTTCTACAGGATGTTTCCCAAAGTCTAATTTACAAATATCTTGGAGGATTTTGCCAATTGCCAGTTCAGTCCCAGTGTCCTGATGTTGCAGTCAGCCAACTTTTGGGTGCAAGATTCTATTAAACAGAAAGATGAAGAGAACAGGCAGTGAAGAGGGCGAGCGGCTTGCAGCGGGCTCCCTTCGGACCCCTCGGGAGAATGGCATGTTTCTTCATGCTCTGCCAGTCAGGAAAGTGAGACCCAATCGAAATTTCAAATGGGATTGCAAAGCTTTCCTTTTTCTCTTGTAGTTTTAACAAGGGCAATGATCCAAGGAGTTTAATAAAGAGTAAGTTATAAAGCCCTGACTTTAGCTCCCACTGTTCAGCACAGAACCAATCCCTCGGGAATTCTCTCCCCACTGCTGGACACATTCTCTTCACACAGGAGCTGCCAACTCCAGTCATTTGCAGCCGTACAAGGGGCCTCGTCTTCTCTGGAGAGGGAAGGTCAAAATCTGGGGCTCGTTGCCCCTCCAGAGGCATTGGCCCCGTGGGAGCCCCACTGGCCACGTGTGCCTGGCCAAGGGCGGCAGAGGCAGACGGGCCAGGCAGTCCTGCTCCAGGAGCAATGGGATCTCAGCCCCACTTTGGGATTACATCATTTTGTTGGTACTGTACCCTCAGTAACAACAACTGATTTGCAAGCTACAAGGTTCTGGTTTGGAAAGCCCAATTTATATTTGATGCTGTGACTAAAAACTCAGTTCCTTAAGGGGTTTAAAATTTAAACTGATGCAAAATGCAGGAATTTTAGGTGCTTGGCTTCTCAAGTCAACATGAGAAAGCAGAGCTTTATGGGTAGCTGTTTGTGAGAAACACCGAAATGCACACACACACTGGGCCACTATTTATTTTTGCTAACAAGCAGCAAAAACAAATAGGACAAACACCACATCTTAAACATGAACACTTCTCCAAAGAGGTGGGGACTGAAGAGAAATCCAGGAATGTTTTTCGATACATTCTGACATCAGGGCATGAAGGCACACACAGCATTCCTACAGAACAGATGGGAGCACTGGGACCGAGGGCCGTTGGCCTGACCTTGCCATTGGTTAGAGGACAGATTAGTGCTAATCCCACCGACCGAAACCTTGGTCAGTGCCCCGCAGGCTCCGCGCCCGGAGCCCGGCTCCGTCTTACAGGGAAGATGAAAGGCAAGCTGAGCTGCATTTCGAGCTCCTTCATTTCAAAGAATGCAGGGAGTAAACTAACAAGTTTGTAAAACTGCATAGAAAGTGTATTTACATTTGGCTGCCGTTGTTCAGGGGTACTGGAAAAATATGGCACTGCTTTGGAGATCAAGGTGTTTTCACCAGTTCCTCCAGTTATTCTCCCTTGATATTAGCCATGAAACTTTTTTGGTCTGAATCTAAGTGCAAGTCACCTAAATGTGGTTGGAAGCATTATGAAAAAAAGTATCCCCCCCTTTCGGTTTACTTAGTGACATCTGCACAGTGCTTCACACGCCTTGAAAAGGAATATGATAAGTGTTCCCTTGTGATGAATCAGTGTCAAGGAACCTGGGCTTTAAAACAAGATCCATGACCCTGTTCCCTCTCTCGTCAGCTGTACAGAATGACACACAGAACCACTCCAAGAGAAGTGGTAAAACCAATTTAAGTTTAACAAAAAAATAGTAGAGAACTTTAAAAAATATTTTAATATACTGAAAATAAAATAGAACACCTACGTATTAAGTATGAGAAAGCATAAAAATTCCAATCCTCCCTCAATCTGAGTTCAGAAGACCCTGGACTTCACTGCCACAACAGCATCACTTTTTGCAAGAAAATACTTGGGCAGGAGCCTTTGAGCAAAATTGTATCCCCTTGTGGGAACCTCACAAAACCTTCCCCATCAGAATTCGTTCTGCACTTTGTGCTCTCCCATCAACATGGATCAGCTGCAGCAGCTCCAGGGCTGATCTCAGCATCTTGTGGGAAGTTGAACAACTAAAGCAATATGCAGTTTATTTTTAATGGTCTTGTAAAGAGCGTGGTTACTAATTTGAGAATAAACAGCCAGTGCAATTAGGGGATCTTTGCCATTCATCTGTTCTGTAAGATTTTCTGCATTCAGCTGCTGCCAAAGTGTTCCATGTCTTTGGAAGGGGATCCTTCCTGCCATCGCCTCCAGCAGAGTGAGGAGCAACTGACCAACATTTCCCGGCCCGTCGGTAGTTCAGGTGGGAGAGGGAGGAAGCAAAGGACTCGTGGCAAGTCTAGAAATGGGAAGAGAGCGACAGGGAGTTCCCTAAGCCCACACGGGCCCAGCTGCCTCAGTTGTCATGACAGAGAGTGGCCAGTTGGTCAAAGGTCTGACATCATCCAGTGGCAAAGTTTCTAGGGATAGGTTTGGGAAGCGGAAGCAGAAATTACTGACAAGATTTAAAAAATACAACAGAGTATGGCTACGTTTGCTCTTCTCTACTGCTCTGGGTTTGTTTCCAACCTCCCTGGTCCTGCCAGTCAACATTCCTGTCACGGAATTCCTGTCCAACACGGGCACGGAGCTGTGTCGGACATCACGCCGTAGGGGATGAAGGAATGGAAAGGACTAAGTGACAGTTTTCTAGATCTATTTTGCTCTAAGGACATGAGGTACAATGTTCAATTCAGAAGCAAAAGTGCTGTATCACAGCACCGTAACTTCAATTGTATCCCAGTTAGGAAATTCCTAAAGCCAGAAACATACACATCATCAACCAATAAAAACTGAGGGCCAGGACGACACACTGGCGAGCTTTGCAGGAGAGGGTTTTTACATAAAAAGAGAAACATTTTTATGAGTTTTTCAAGAAACTACGAACCAATCCCACTTGACTGACTTAGTTTGCAAACAAGACTGTGCAGCGCCAGGTGCTCAAGAATTAAATAGCAAGCGTAAAGAAAGGAGAACTAAGATCTAATTGTATGTCAAAGTTAACACTGTAGGAATATTGCTGGCCAATGAAAATTAGGCATATATTTACATGAAGATTAAGTGACTGGTGTCTTTTGAAGGCACAGGTAACGTAATCTATGGTGGCGATAGCCAGTCTAGTCAGCACGTGATGCACAGCTAAAAGCCTGCTTCCCAATTTAACCCTGTGCTGCACAGTCAGGGCATTTAGCTAGAACAGTCTGAAACCCAAGTTAAAACGCTCTGTGTACCTCCTTCCTTCTTCTCTGCTTCATCTCGGATGAGAGGGGACGTGAGTATCACCTTCAAAGTGAGCTTGGGCTCCTTTGTGTTACGGATAACAATAGCTGCCTCATTTACATGCTCCTCCACCAGATACTTCTCTTCTGTAAGTTTCTGAAAGTCACCAACAAAGATTTCAAGAATCTCCCAATCAGCTGGAAGACTGCAGAATCTGTTCACGTGCCTCAGCTAGTGAGAAGCCCACAAGACACTGCAATAACAAATAAGGCCTTGCCTTCCTCATTAAAAACCATTTCAAACATTTCTTTTCTAGCCCATACTACAACTGCCTTACCATTTGCTCCATTAACATGCATTGTATCCGAGTTCTCTGCAGGTCTCTGAGCAGTCCTTTGGGACTCTCTCAACCTCCAGAAGCACAGCAAGAGCCCCAGATGGCTCAGAGTCCTGCAGCCATCCCTTCTGCGTGCGAGTCTGGCTCACAGACCATACGGGTAGAGCATGTATCTAATGTCTGTTCCGACTCCTTCCCCTGCTGCATCTGCTCTCCTGCAGCTCCTTTATTGTTGGGAGGAGAATGGCTGAGCATCTGCTCAGGATGAGCCTTCAAAGCAGCAAAGCAGAAGCTGCTGACGTCTCTGTACTGCACTTGCTCCTTTTGTCCACTAATGGGCCTAAACCCTCCTTCCCCTCTGGCACCTGATCCCTCTGCAGAACCTCTCCTGTCCTCCATGCCCAGGCATTTGTAGCGTTTCATGAGTCACAGCCTCATCTTTGCTGTAATCCCCACCATAATTCCCCCCAGGATCTTACCTGCCTGTCCCTTGAATTAATTCAGTCTTCACATCTTTTAATTACATCTATTCTCCCATTTCATCTCACTTTTTTTGAAGCACACACTAACTTTTCTTCTCACTTTCAACCCTCCTCATTTCATGCCTCACTACAAACAAAATTTACCCTTTAATACTCAATACATCCCTATCATTTTCAAACAAGTAAAATGAACTCTTTACTCCTCAAAAGATCCTTTGCATTTTCAGCTATGGATAGGGCCACATCTGCAGGTACAACATTAGCTCATTAAAACAAGCCCTTTGTGTGAGCAAATAAATGGTGAGAACAGCTGTCAAGAATGGTAAAACACAGGGAGAAAAGCAGATCAGGAGAAAAGCAGATCAAGTTTGGTCGTGCTTTGGAGAGGAGCACTTGCAGTGGAATACTTGGGCAGCTCCTTGGCACCAGTGTTTGTCAGTCTGGAAGCTGAACTGATTCCTCAGCCTCAAACTCAGTCACAAAGGTAGTCTCCCTAAAGAAGCTGTAAGTGCTGCCTGCTGCATGCCAACAGCAGAATTAAATAGCCATAAATAAAATGAATACGAGCTCATGATTAACACGAGCCAAAGCGAGTGACACCTGCAGTGACACGTGCTCACCTCAGCAGCACAGAGGGGTTCTGTGGGAACAGCCCCAGCAAAGCAGCCCCAGGGGGGAACTGCAGGTTCAGGCAGGAGACGGGACAACAGCAGGGACTGAGTGACCCACTGGAGCAGGGGAGGTTCTGGGACTGCAGTTCAGTCACCCTGAGCCCAGAGAGCCCCAATCTGCTGGGTTAGTGACACACAGGAGGGTCACTGCCCTCAGGGCACTGACAGCACAGACAGGAGGAGCCAACAGCAGCAGGAAGATGTTCTGTTTTGTGAGCAAGTACTTCATGGCACCACATTAAACACGTCACATGCCCCAGATTTCGTCCTAGATTCAAACTATATTCCTTTATATCACTTGTCTTTCTTCCTGGAACAAATTGCAGCCTTTCCCCAAATACCCTTGGCAGTGCTACCAGCCACTGTTCAGGGCTGCCCCAGATTAACTCACCTGAATTTGAGCTGGGAGATTGTCTTTAACGATACATAACAAGGTCTTTGTGGGTTTTTCTTTGCACATAAGAACCAGCTCCAGATCCATATCGTCTTTTATGAGCAAGCCCTTTGCAACCAAGCCAATTCTCATCACACCACATAAAGTCCGACCGCCTTGATCCCTGGAAATGAAACAATTTGGGCTAATTAAAATGGCATTTTACTCTCCAGATGCAGCTTAGGAGAACCTTTAAGAGCCACAGTAAAGAACTTCCAAAGCAATGTAAAGACACTTCAGTTTTGAGTCCTGAAAGACTGCAAAAAAAGCCAGTTTTGCAGACTGGAATTGCTTAATAACATGAAGAGAAATGCAAGAAATGCTTCTCTGATAGGTCAGCACCAGGTCTTGTCTCATCCAGTTGTCTCCAAAGCATTTACTGCAGCCTTGGATTACTTTTTTTAATACAAAAATCAGTGTTGGTGTGGGGCTGAGCTGCTGGCTGGGATTAAACCACAACAGTACTGGCAGGTAATGGAGCCTTAGCAAAGTTGGACTGCTGGATTATAAAAACTTTTTTTGTGTATTAAACTGCACAAGCCCCCAAGCACGTGGCTGTGGATTTGCACTGCTGTGTTACAGGGACATATATTTGCTTAAAACTGCTGAAAGTTTTGTCTGCTAAATGCAACTTCACAACACCACAGTAAAACAAACAAAGAAACGGAGAGCAACTGCTGCCCACACTGGGCTCGTTGCCATTCCCTGCTCCCACCACAGAAAGTCCAAATATATCCCCTTCCTTCTATGAACCTTCACATGCAGCAGAACCAAAGAAACACTGGGACTCTTATTTGGGAGGAGAGGAAGGGCTGAGAGAGCACAGGGACATGCTGGGAGGGGAGGGGAGGGTGAGGCTCACTTGGCACTGCCTTCCACAGCTTCCTCCTTGGCTTCCACATCACCCTCACACTTGGTAGACTTGTTCTTTTCATCCATCCAGTCAGAGACATGCTTAAGGGCACATTCTACTGTTGATACCATGTTCTGGACAGCTTCAAGTTCCTCTGGAGATGGATAAATGGTTGAGTGTTTCACCATTACGTGGCGGTCATCGTTAGCAAACGATCGGATCGATCTCTGTGGAGGAGTGGGAAACAGGAGGAAAAGAAAGCAAAGTTACTGGATTATCAATAGGACGCTGCCTGAATGGGAATCCTCCCTGGCAGGGGTAGTAATGTCTCTTAGGATAACCATGCAGAAGCAATTTCTTTATTTAAATAAACTTTAAAAAGAAAAAAGCAAACACCAGTACAAAAACCAATCAGCATTAAACCAGTAAAACTTACTTTCATTGTTCTTCTCACTTCTTCCTGCCCTCCCCCTCCAAGATTCTCTTGGAGAAGAGGGCATGGTCTGGCTGGCTGAGTATAACAGAGTGCTGAAGCAGGAGAACACAAAACCCCTGGCTGCATTCCCTTTGACTTGCTTGGTTATTTACATTAACCTTTCAAAGTCAGTGAGAAATCACTTGGACTGATCTTGCTGAAGGACCTACATCTCATGGAGATACAAACTGTGAGCAACAGCACTGAGAGAAAGGGGGGCTGCCCTACCCTGGGATACTTGCAGGAGTTGAGGTGTTCCTGAATTTCAGCAATCTGTGTTGGGCTGTGCCAGCCTTCAGCAGCTGGATAGCTCAGAGCAAAGGGGAGGGCCAGGGTCCTGATCCCAACCGGGAACCTCACGGCAAGGCAGGGAATTGGGAACATGAGCAGACTGGGCAAAGCATGTGGAAAGGAGGGTGGGCAAGGAGAGAAGATTCCTGTTTTGTAAAAGGTGTTAATACTTTCCAAATGAAGTTTTTGCCTATTCTAGACGTGCTGAGTGCAGCCACCTCTCCTCTCTTTATGCCAGGGACAACAGCAACACACCTTGGAACGGGCAGTCGGAGAGCCAGTCCCTCACGTGTGCTGCTGCTGCTGCAGATGGAGTCACAGCAATACAGAGGCTGCAAGAGGCTCAGCAGGGATTTACAAAGCCAGGAATGAAGATGAGCATAGAGAGAAACTGGTAAGAGGAGACTGAAATAATTTCTTTTTTAAAAAAATTCAAATTAATACAGAAATGAGAGTGCTAATTAAAATTAAGTCTTGAGTGATACTGCTGAGGAAGGTGGACTTTAGTGGTTGGGTAACCCATGCTAGGAAGCTTTTGGTTTGCCACACACTCTCCAGGTGAGACTTCTTTGATCTAAGTAGTGCCCCAGACCAGCTGTGATCACAGCACACACCTCTGGCAAGAGCAGCAGTAAGTCTTGGTCTCTACAGACACATCAATCACTGCTGAAAGCCTCCCAGACCTGGGAATCACCAGCCAAGAACCTCTGTTCCTCCTACACATTAAGCACCTTAATTAGGTTTCATTTTCACCCCAACTCCATGGGTTTGTAGCTGTACCCATTCCTAATAACACAAAGGGCCTTTAAAGGACCTCAGAGGCCTCTGGGCTGGATCCTTGTTAAGGAACTGTCCACGTTTTCCTGGTTTATTCCACTCGCTGAGTCCCTTCCATTGAAGGTCAGCGTGACATCGTTCCCTTCCTCACTCCTGTGCTCCTACCCAGATGGATAATTTGGGCAGTAACAGCAGTACATCCATGGGGGGCTGGTATTATCCCCTATTCTTTGGAAGGCTGCAAAATGCTTCCAGGAGGTCCCTCTTGTGGTTATCCATAACATGGATACAGCAGGAGCTGCAGGGAAGCTGCTGAGCTGCATTTAACAACTCATCCCACCATGTCTTATCTTATCTTACCATCCAGTACTCCATTCTGGCACACCTTTTCAAGTTCACATCTCAGGCATTCCCAATGTGGAGCCAATCCCAGGCAGATGAGAGGTGACTCCTCACTTAACCAACATACACCAGGTATTTCTGGCTTAACACATTTCATCTGCACAGAGCCACGTTCAGTCACACACAGGTATGAATAATAATGCTTTTGTGAGAAGAGGTGGAAGGGGAATGTCAGCATTTGGTGATGCAATCTGCCAGTTCAAGGTCACTGATGCTGTTTGCTACAGCCTGCTAATGCCAGTTTTATTAGAAAACCTTATGAGCATCCCCTTGGTTTGTATTTAATAATTCATGTACTGCAGGCTCACAAGACAACTCTCTGGTTTTAAGAGGCTGACAATACATCAAACCTCACTTGCTTTGCTCCAAGCATGCAGCACCATCCCTCAGTTAGTGCAAGGTCAGAAAATCCCCTTCCTCAGGTTTGATCAGGCCCCATGCAAGACTGGCAGCAGAGAACACTTTTAATGCAGCCCTGTGAAAGACAACAAATACCTACCATGGTTTGTTAGTGTTTCAGCTCTCTCTCCCTCCCTTTCTCCTTTTCCCTCCTCCTCGGTGTCTTTGCTAAGCACTGTTTTGCCTGACAGAACCTCTTCATAAGCCTCTCAGTCCCTTGACAGCTCAAGAGTTCATACAGCCAAGATGCTCTGGGAGTCACTTTGTCTAATTCACCTGCAAAAAGAGAGAAACAGCTTGAAAGCAGCAGCAAGGGCATGAGGATTCCAGAAGTGCTCGATGCAGCACATGGAGTCCAGCACTGCTCAGAGCACACAGGCTTTGAGATGGGAGCAGCCTGTGAGCCAGTTACTCCCCAACCAGCAGCAGTCACTTGGGAAAGCAGCTCCCTGTGCTGTGCCCACACATGGAACGACTGTCCCATGCCAGAGCTGATCTCAGGGAGCTCTGTAGGCCACCTGGCAATCCCAGTTCCTGGGATGAGGGCAGGAAATCCAGCACTGCAAAATGCTCCTTGTGAAACCAGCTCAAGAAGTCTCTATTTTTATGTCACATGCACGTTAGCAATCAAACACACCATATTTAATTATCAAAAAGTAATTATCTTTTGAAATCCCCAGAGCAGCCCTCGATCCTGTGTCAGATGCTGCACAACAAGAACCAAGGCTTCAGGTGGCAATAACTGCAAGTTGTTATTTAAAGAAGGACAAGCACATTCTCCCAAACTGCAGACGTCAGACCTGCGAGCAGCTCAGCTGAAATCACCCACACCGCCTGTGCTGCCCGAACACTGCCTTTCCCAGCACTCAGCACGGAAAAGATCCTGTGAGAGCAGCCTTCTTGTACTAAACTGGGAAACAACCTCCAGCACTGGCAGCAGAAAGCTGCAAATAAATGCTCTGTGAGAGAGAAGAGCAGAAAAACAGAGCAGGTAATGTGAGAGAGGAAAGCATAAGCTCGCTGCACAGCAAGACACTCCAGTCCTTGCAGAAAATTCCTGTTTTCCTTTCACTGCACATACTGTTGCATCAGCTCTCCAGCAACGTTTTGAAGCAATTGGAAACCCAGTCAGTAAATCTGTGCAGCCTGACACACGCACTCAAACATTTTCCTTTTCTCCTGTATGCCGACCCCCCTTCACCTGCAATATGTTGCATATTGTGTGTCAGAGAATCCTGACATTGTTAGAGATTAAAAGCATGCTTGGCAACAGCAGAGGGGTAGGTGAGATGACTTGAAAGCTGAGGAGATGCTTAGACTGTGGTGTGACGGAATAATTAAAATGTTGCATCCTGTGGAGATTTGAACTTAACAGGGGAAAAGGCAACAACAAATCCCACTTCCCTATTTGCCTAGTTCGGAAGAAATGAAGCAGGTTTACAGGACCAGCGAGTGCCTGGGAGTTGTTTGTATTGCACAGCCCTGAATTTTGGGTGCAGAATTGGGTACAACAAAAAGCAGCCCCAGAGGAACACTGTGCAGAGCCCTGCCTGCTCCAGCAGCTGCAGCTGCCAAGGAAAAAACCCCAAGAGAGTTAAGCGCAGTCATACTAAAAATACTTGGGAAAAGCAAGCTAATGAAAACCCTGACTGCCCCCACTTCTCATCATGGAGCTCTGTGCCAACCAAGGTGTATTAACACTCTACCAAATTGCTTCCCAGAAGCAACCAGAGAAGGGGGTGTTCTTTCACAGAACCAGCCTCTTCTCTTAAGAGATCCTGAAAGCCAGGCAGGGGCAGCTGAGAGGGAAAATGAGCAAAGATCAGTGCTTTGGCACTATTTGTTCTGTGAGCTAGTCAAGCTTCTCCACACTCCACAGCCTTTCACCATCTCCAGAATCAACCAGACTCTGCAAGGTCTTTTTGTTTTGCTAACAATAACAACAATAACAATAATAATAATAGTTTGAGTCAGCAGATAGAATACTACGGAGACTTCTATGAGATGTGTTTCTAGATCATCTATTTCAAATTATTCTCTCTCCAAACTCAATTCCAGCTGTCTTCACCTACTCTTCTTCCCTGCCCCTCCCACACTTCACATTTTCGGTTCGTTATTGTCTCTTGTGGCCGTAATTTGGCCATTCCAGGCAGAGAGAAGGGCACTGGAATGTGTTGCTGAGCTCAGCACATGCCCAGTGCAGTGTCTCTGAGGGAGCAGCACCAGCCTGGCCTCCCTCCCCAGGCTGCTGCAAGCTGTTGCTTATCAGCTCCCACAGGGCTCTGGAAGCAGATGGGCAGAGAGAGCTGGCTGGGCAGATCCTGGTGCTCAGTAAGTGCTGAGCAGGCTCTTGTCCAGAGGGCAGGTCTGCAAGAGACACCACGAGCTCTGCACACAGACACTCCTCAAGGGGCAGTTCAGGATGTGCTCAGTGCTTTTCAGTGTTTGAAAATCCAGAACAGACCAAAAATGAGTGTTTCACAGCTATGAGGGGGGTTAATCTGCTGCTGGGCTGATGAAGCACAAACACCCCCACCTCTCCATTCCCTGCCTTAAGCAGGCAATAACCTGTTCTCTTGTTTTCAAGACAGGTTCGGTTTTCAGTGACAAGTAAAAGTTGTTGGATGAAGGTATTTATGAGTTTGGTTTCACCTGCCCTTTTTCTCAGCAGGGCATGGCTGAGGTCAGGGCACTGACAGCTGAACTACAAAGGGATCTTTATTATCAAATTCAGAAAGCTGGGAAAAAAACCTCTGAAAGTTGAGTTGAAGCTGATATACGATGTCTTCCCAGTCATTAACATCCTACGAATATTTCAGAAACACGCACAGGAGTGAAACCCTAATTTAGTTCAGACTTTGAGAGAACATTTTCAACAAAAGCACTAAACAGGAGGGAGTTTACTATAAAAGTGTAGACACAATATACAGAACAAAGTACATCTGACAGCATGCAGAATTAAATTAAGGAAAACCAAAATCAAATCTGCTCCAACCATATGGACTAAGGCAGCACAACATAGCTCAGCACCAAATACATCAGAAAGCATTATGTGAAGTGAGCAGCAATTCCATAAATCCAACAGCCTCAATCCACTACCAGGCTAGAGCAGGATATTTGTTCCTGCATCCTCAGGGAAGTTACAGCTGATGCCCAGTCTAAAAAGCACCGTGTTAAAACATTTTTGTGACTGTCTTACCCAGGGGCTGCCACCCACACTTGCACAGAAACTTCTACCCAAAGCTCCTTGCACCAACCCAGACCTTGGTGACCTTGAAAAAGTCCCTTTTCCCCTGCATCATGTGGCCCTGAAGTGTGAAACAAGAGTAAATAGTCGCTGTCTCCAAACCAGGTCACGGCGGAGCCGAGCGGAGTCTGCAGCGTGGTTTAAAATCACTGGGGATTTGACACGTTAGAAATGTTATTAAAACACCATGACAGTGTTCCATTAAACATCCCATCCTTCACAGAGGAAGTTTATGCTTTGGCACAAGACAAACGAAAAGAATTTCAGATGAGGCTTTTGTAGTAGGAGATATTCCTGCATCTGCAGCTGCATTCCCGAGGGACAGCCAGTTAAACAGCCAGGGGTGATGAATATGCTCAGCTGCCTTGGAGTGCCTGTGAACAGAGGGAAAAGGCAGCAGAAACAGGTACGTGCACTCCATGGGGACTGAAATACCAGAATCAGGGAGCCAGGAGCTGCTGGAAAGGAAACACGAACTGTGTTTGGCATCCCAGTATCCCCCTGGAGCAGCACCTTGCACGGAAGGGTTACTGGTGCAACAGAGAGGAGGGAATTGGGGTCACTCCACACCAGTGCTCCAAACCCTCACTCCAGTCAGCTGCTGTTCAGGCTCCTGGCCAGGCCAAGTAGAACACCATGAAAATTGGTTTTTAATGCTCCATCAAGAAGGCACACGCTAACGATGTCCAGCTGAAGCATTAAAAACACCCTCCACCCTCCTAATCTAGCCTGACACCAGTATCTGCCCAGTTTGCAGTGTGCACCACCCCAAGAGCAGGCAGAGCTGGTATTAACAGAGCAGCAAGGTTGCTAATAACAAACCAATGAGTATCCAACACAGCCTGAGGTGTATCAGACACAGTAATAGAAAAAAATGGAATTTATATCCTTTTTTGTGACCTTCAAAAGTCAGAATGAGAGGCTTGCAACTTCAAATTGGAAGTTTATTTTAGCCTCTGCTTTGCATTCAGGAGACAGGTAATTTTTCGTCACACCACACAAAGTGCTGCTGAAAATATGTTGTGTTTTTTCTGCAGTATAATTTTATTGCTGGCCTTCTGCCAAGAGCCTTTCTGGCAGCATCTCCCACAGTTGGAAACTGTGTATCTGGGTCAGAAAAGACAAGCGGCTTTTCAGAACAGCTCAATACATTTGGCAGAGATGCTGATATTGTAATTGAACTCTTTCAGCAACTCTCTTTATGATGTACCCAGACACCAAACAAAACAAGATCTGCAGTGTTGATTAATGTCAAAATAACTGACAGAGAAATATCAAAATAGTTTTCCCTCATGTTAAAAGTATCAACAAACTGAGGGGAAGAGATAAGAAATATAATTCATGAGGATTCAGAGAGGAGCACAGGGCAGAGAAATCTGCAAAGCACGGCTGACCTGCTCCCTGTGCAGATATTCCCCAGTTAAAATCCCAGCTCCCCGTGCACTGCACAGAACTTCTCCTTCCCCACCACAGGAAGAGAAATCCTGGCCACTCAGCCCCAGCAGCACTCTGGAAAGCAGTGCTGCCCTAACACTGGGATACATATTTAATAAGGCTCAGACTGCTTCCAACAATATGCTCGGCATCCCATTTCACCTGGAGACTGTGTGTTCATAGGAGTTTCATTATTTTCCATGTAATGCATTTCCTGGCAAAGTTGTGTCTGGGTTAGCCTTTAGAAGGCTGGAATTTTCCAGCCAAATGAATAATTACAAAGCAACATACAGTTAAAAGCTGGAAAGGTACTTCCTCTGGCGAACTCTTACACTTCATACAACAAATACTTGAGTCTGGGGTTACTCCTGCTTGTTCAGTTCTCACAACATCTCAAGGAAAGGCTCCTGTGCTCGGAGATCTCTTGGGAGCAGCCTCTGCCAGGCAGCCCCAACAACCAGGTTTAAGTGCCAAAGACAGGGCAGGCACACACTTGATAAACAGATCTGGAACCTGGAACCATCAGAACTGAGGAACCAAAGTCACCTTCCAGGACCCAGAGCTCTGACAACTCTGACAGCAGCAGGAGAGCGAAGCAGCTGCCCATGGTCAGTGTGGAGGGAGGGACTGGGAGAGCTCCTGGGGAGAATCCAGCTGTGCCAAGGCACAGACGGACAACTGGGGGACCCTCAGGCCACAGATGCAACTGAAAAGGGGTGAACATGTGGACTCCCCTCCAACTGGGGAGTAAGGACTAGAAAAACAGCCAAAATAAATCGCACTGGCACAGTGATTAAAGAAGTTGAAGAATCAAAGCCAAGCAATTGCTTAATCTAGATTAATGTATTAAGGTAAAAAGAAACAAGGATGTCAGGGTGTAGCTTGTATTTTTAGCTCCTGGAAAGAGGGTGAAGAAAAGATGGTCTAAGGGGAAATCATTACCAGCCTAACAGGAAGGTTAAAAAAGGAACAACAGAGGCACTGTGTGAGCACATACACAATCATCTGAAGAAGAAAATGCTCTATTTTAGATAGAATCACACCAGCCAGTCTCAGAAAGAAATACCATTAGTAGAAATAACTGCAGCTATTGAATTGTATAAGAAAGAATATAGTTTTAGAAAGAATATAAATCCTTCTCCCTTGGGATTTAACCTGCTGTTGACTAGTGAGGACAGGAAGATACACCACCACACTCACAGGGTGGTCTTCAGAGTATTTTTTACATAAATCTCCCTCCAGACTTTTATCTGCTTCACAGTCCCTGACACCTGCACCTACCCCCAGCACTGCCAGGGCTACAGAGGGTCTCCAAGGAAATCATCCTGAAGGTGCCTTCACCTCTTGGTGTGGGTGTCAGGATGCAATGCTGACCAGAGACAGACCAAGTGCAAAAAGATTTAAGAACTGTCTGTTGACACTTAAATAACAAATTGACACATGAACAGTTTAATGTTTTTCCTGTTCAACCAGTCAGAAATATCCAAAACTGAATTGCCTGTAAATCTGAGCACTACAGAAAACAAAACATCTTAAAGGGTGCATTTCTTGGCAGGTGTCTTGAAAAAATAAAAAGTCACAGATTGGATAACAGATAAATAATGAATAGCAAAGTATTCACATGAGACAAGGCAGAAACCACCACTGGATTCTCAATATCTGTGAAATGCTAAACTCACTTCTGGCTTGTGACACCCTAACAAAGGCATTCCTGCTCTCCTGGCTAAATTGGACAATGACAACCTGAAGCTACTTTGCAGTCATAATGTGCCATCCACACTCAAAATCATCTGAAATTCCTAACCCAGGCTACATTCATTTACAGTTGAAGAATTAACTAAATTAATAACAGGATTACATTACACTGAAATGACACTCACCATATGCAATGTCATTTTTCCAGAGAAAGAGCTGGTTTAAGCAAAATTCTGGATCTATGCCTGAAATGACATCACATTCTCCAAAAGAGAATCACAGTTCTACCTCCTCCACCACCCAGTGCAGTCAGTGCCATGCTGGGCTCCTCACCATCCCAGCACTGAAGCTCTGCAGATCCCAGACTCCCAGAGCCTTCCCACATCCCTGGCACTGGTGTCCACTGCCTCACCTGCCAGGCTCCTGCTGCTCCACAACCACCATGGGAAGCAGCCACAGCGTCCAAGAGACCAAGAACAGGGACATTCCTTCCCCAGCACCCTTTGGCTCCACCAAAATAGCTGCAGTGCCCCAGTTTCCTGGCTGCTGTGATTCATATCCCATAGAATATGGGATACTGCAGGTGGACCTGAGCTGCAGCCCAACAGGGCTGGGCTGGGGGAACAGCCAGCGAGGGGCCACTGCCACCAACAGGGGCTTCTCCAGCTCCATGAGGCCACAGGCACACCCATGGGACAGGCTGGGAGTCACGGCAGCCCCCAGGGTGGCAATAAGGAAAATGTAAAGAAGGAGACTGGAGGAGAAACTGTCCTGCAGGAGCACTGGCCCTGCTTGTTTTGGTGGCTGCACTTTTCCTCGGTCCGTGAGGCAGAGCCAAGCACGTTGGCTGTCCCAGCTGTTCCCTGCTCTGCAGCCCAGGCTAATGCACAGCCCGGGAATTAGGGAGATGGCAGAGAAAGGCAACATGGATCCTAAGCCTCTGCTTGTAAATAAAACAAATTGAGTAATTCTCACAAATGACACAATGCAAATAGGTCTGTGAGAGTCACGTGTCCCCGATGTTTACATGAGGTTTCAGTTTCAAAGCATTAAGACCTTTTTGAGAACAAATGCTCTGACTAAAATTTCAGCAGCCCTCGACAGTGAAATTTAAACAAGTTTCTCCCCAAGAATTTCTTCCCCAACATCAACATATACAGACACTGTTTTCAGTACTGCAAACCCACACTGGCTGCTGTGCCCGGCTGCCTTCAGCCACTTTAAACATTCATGACTCTCCACTGAAATGCATTTTCTAGTATGTCTGTCTTGCTGCCTCAGTGACTTCTTTTTTTTAATTAAAGAGAGAGGATTTAAAAGGATTTGGAAGGGAAGACCACTAGACTCTGTGAGTACTGTGCAAAAAGCTCTTGTGCTCCCAGGCAGGACACATTCTCCATCAGACTTTTCCCATGTTTTGGTTCCACTGTGACTCCCGAACAAGTTCAGGGTAATTTTTCACTTCCTGACTAATTGGCTGTTTTGTCAACGAACACGTTGTCAAAGGTTCAGGGTTACTAAAAGCTGAAGGTTTTAAGTGGTTTTTCTTGCCATCTCTTGCCCATCCAACCATGTTTTTTGAAGTTTGATTCAACATCACAACATGTAATGGCACAGAAAGGTCTGAAACAGAATCTGTAACTACGATCTGGGGCTGTTTGGGGAACAGAAGTGGCTCTTTTGAAACACTCTCCAAACACAGCACAAGCCCCACGATGGCAGGGGGGGGGTCTCTCTAGGGAAGGGCACCCTGCCTGCCATCCATTTTCAGCCTCACAACACAATTATTTACTTCAAATGCAAGATAACCCTACCAAAAGATTTGAATTAGGTTATTTAGGCATGAAAGGTAGCAACAATATCCATCAAAGCAAAACACCCCACACAGCAGCGTGTGAGATGGCAGAGGAGGAACTGTCAGCCTGACATTTGTGACCCAGGTTATTTGTCTTGGACAAGACTTTGTAGAAGGAAGTCCGAGCTCGGGCAAGACGAAGAAAAAGAGTCACAGACATATTTAGAGATTTACAAAATTCATAACTAAAAACAAAAGTCCTATTGCCCTGGAAAACTATTGAGTCTAAAAATATTTTAAATGGGCTCAATCCAGCATCCTCTTGCCTCAGCAGATCTCCACTGCACGCCTGTGCTGTCAGATCTGCCAACTTCACTTGCGAAACTCATCTGTTATTCCTCTCTCCAGTTCACACGGCACAGGACGGGGTTGGGAACGGAGAAAAAGGAACTTTAGCAGGGACCATCAGTGGTGGAAATGCTCAGTTTGAAGACCACAAGCCAGGCTGCAAAATTAATTTCTCAGTCTAAGTTATATCTGTCAGTCTTCCCCTTAGGAACATCCCGAGTAATGACTTTTTTTGTTTGCTCATTTTTAATAGGATATTGAAATTAAAAAATTTGGCAAAATTGGGTGTCTGTAGCACTGTATTCTCCAGTCTCTTTGGAGAACACAACTGTGCCAAGTAAGTGTTCCTGAACTTGAAAAGTTACACTCAATCTTTTCTTATCTTTTGAATTTCAAATAAAATCGGGAGGGGGGGAAGAATACATGTGCCAGTCCCAGCTGGATGGCATTTTGAAGATCATGGACATAGCTTTGCTGCTTTGGCCTCTTCACATTTCCTATAGGGCTGTGAATTAGTTTGATTTCTCTTTATAGATAATGTCACTTGGAACAGCAGCAAAGACACTTCCAGCTCTTCCTTTGTTAAAGAAGCTCCCTCAGCCTTTGCATCCCCCCCATCTCCTTGGGATCGAGTCCCCAGCGTCAGACTTTGCCCTCCTGTCAACATCAAGCAACAAATCTCTGAACAGCAGCAGAAGATCCACAGGAGCATCCTGGAGGCAACACCCGAGCCCCAGGACCCTGCTGTTCTGTGAGTGTGGGGAGGGGAGAAGGGGATAACACCCCCGGGGATGTGATGGGGCTGTGCAGCCCCCAGGAACGGGGGCAGACCCCAGGGAGCAAACAGCCTGGCAGTCAGGAGCAGCATTCAGCTCTCAGCTTGGCAGGGAGATCAATTCACAACAACACAACTCTCTCCCCAAAGCTCCCTTCGTACACTGGAGTCGCTAAAAGTAACACTTGAAATGACTGTCAGGGGGAAGACTGGAGAAAAACAATCCAGGTTGGTTTATTTTGGGCCATTAACTGCAGTTTGTGTCTGGCCACTTCAGTTCCCCCGATAATGGGAGAGCTGCTGTTCCTCACAGCAACACTGATGGGCTTTATTTTACTTCTCTAAAGAAGCTGAACCTGGGAAGCCACAACCTGTCAGGGTGGGAGAGCACAGGGTCCCAATGCAGAGGGCAGGACCAAAAACCAGCTGCCACACAGACTGGGGGTGTTCTCCTCGGCTGGGCAGGGGGAGAGAAACCCTTTCAACCCTCAGGGAGAAGTTATGAGGAAATGAGATTAGAGTGTAAATGTTTTTATTGCCTGTTTAGCCACCTATGGAAATCTGTGTTCATGTCAACACCATCACCACCACCAACAGGACACGATCACTGAACTCTCTTGTCAGCACAAAGAACCTGCCTGGTTTTCAGTCTAAAACTATACTTTTAGTAGCCTAAGAATGTCAGGTTATAATGTAGCTTATTCCACAGTTCAACCAAAATTCAACTCTATAACCTGAAAATTTTGTGTTAATGAGAAAAATTCTTCTTTAAAAAAATCCATAAATGCTTTGTGCACTGAAAGAGCACTTGGTTCTGCTGGTTTATGAGTTCTTCACTTTGCACAGCTCCTCTGCTGTGGAAACAAAAGTCTCTGTATTGGGCCTTCCCAGTGACATTTGCAGACTCCTACACTTGCTCCAACAGGACATTCAGAAACGGTTCTTACTGGCCTCTAAAAGTTAGCTCATCATTAGTTAACTGCAGAAATGCATTAAAGAAAACAACAGCAACATAAAAGAGGGACACAAAAAGTAATTAAACCTAGCTAAGACTTTTTCATTGAGCATTTTGCTCTGAAGCATTGAGAACTCACAGAACAGCAGAACCACCAGTGCAGAACTGTCAACACGGGGAAAGGCTGTCCCTGAAATTCAGTGGACAAATACTACCAGGCAGTTTCATGCTTTACAGAGACAAAATCCAGAAGTTAAATTTAGAATGATGATTTCTGCAGGCACTCAGATGTTTCTGCTCTAAATTTTTGAGAAATTGCAAATTACAACTTGGCAGACTTTAAACTGACCCAGCGTGTGTCTTGTGCAATCCAATCATGATCTGTCCTGTTACTCTGCAAAACTTAGGGAAAAAACATCATGCCTTTGAACACATGATTTCAGACAACTGACAGAGACATTCCATCAGTCTCTTCCATTTTGATTACAGTAGCAAGTCCCAACATGCTTTTATTAGCAAAACAACCAAAATCAGCCCTTAGGTGCACGCACAAGAATTCCACACCACTTCAAACATCACTCTGCAACTGCTGTGATAGGTGTAAATGTTACACCTACACTTTGCATTTAGCAGAGACCCCAGGGATTCAAGTGACTGTCCCAATGCCCCAGTAAAACAGTGGCAGGACTTGGAAGAGCAGTTTGTCATTTACTACACACACCAAGCATCCTCTCCCCCCTTTTCAGCTTTCCACCCTTTCCTCAGGCTTCATTAGTTCCATTTGAGCAGACACTGCATTCCTGGCTGCTTTTGCTATTCCCCCTCTGTTGCAGGACACAGCCCTTCCCACAGGTCAGCCTGGCAAACCTTCACACCAATTACCTGTGCATTCATGAGATTCAAATTAGCAATTCAATATCTGGATATGGGCTGGTTAAACTCTGGAATCTAATTCACAATGTGTCCTCTTTTCAGGCATCACATTTTTTGAGCACTCTGCTCTTTTGAAAGTCAAACTGATGTGGGCTCAGGAACCTTGGTTGTTTTTTTTTTCCAGAGAGGACAATGGAGCCCCTCTTCTGTCAGGCAGCAGAACACACACAGTCTGTTCTCGGGAAGAACAGGAGCCAGGAAGGACAAGAAGAACATTGCAGGACACCAGCAAGGGACCCGAGCCTTTCTGCAAGGTAAGAGGAAGCTTTGCAGCCCTGCTCTATAAAGCAGCTCCTCAGCACTGAGCAGCTCACTCTGCACACCAAATTCCACCATATGGTTTGGCTTTGAAGGAAGAAAACCACAGGCAGCTGCCTTTGCCACTTGGTTTTTCTAGAGCTTTAAGAGACATAGGAACAGGCTGTGGGAGTTAAGGGAGTTCATTCTTCTCTCTCTCTTTTAAAAAACAAACAAATTAACCAGTCAACCTCCCCAGCCACCTAAAACATCCAAAACCAAATGGAAAGGATAGAGGGTCTGAGAGCATCTCTCTTACAAATCAGAAGAGATACTGGGAACCCCCAGATGACCAGGAGTGCATGTGCCTGGACCCCAATCACACCCCTCAAACAAGGTCTCTTCAGTCTGCTCCACACTAAGCTCCAGCCATCCAACAGCAGTTTATAAGTCCTGTGAGTTCATTCAGAATGGCTGCTTTGATCTTAGATCTTTTCAGGAGATTTTTCAAAGTTTGTTAGAGTATTTTCAGCTGGAAAGGACCCACAACAATCACCAACTGCAACCCAAGAGGAGCACAAATAATGAAAGCAGAGCAGGGAAAAGGAAAGAGGGGAAGTACAGTAAATCCTGTACTCCTCAGCTCTCTGCCAGAATTCAGTTTTCTATAGGCTGTGCATGAGACTTGCTACTGTGCTGTGTGATGAGGGCAAAGGGAGCTCATTGAGACAAGGTGCACCTGCTAAAACTGGCACTAAAACTACTGCGAGTGGTGTCCAGCACAAACAGAAAGCAAGTCCTTGTTCCTCTGGCACAAGAGGACTCCTTACTGCGAGTGCCACGTACAGCTCAGACATTTCTAAGCAAAAGCAAAGGCTCTGGCCAAGGGATTTGTATTAAAATCCAGATTACAGCTCGCAGGGTGAGGGAAATGGCAAAGGGAGCAGTGAGTCCATGGCCAGCCAGGCTCTCCCCTAGCAGCCCTTCCTCTGAAGGAGCTGCAAGGAGACAGCCTGAGCCAACAGTTTCTACAGCAACTGCAGAAGCACCAGTTCAGTGATACTCTGAGCCTGCAGTAACTGCAGAAGTGTCAGGAAATGGATACTCCAGAAGGAACCTGCCACAGTTTCACCTGGACTGCCTCCACCTCCCTGGGCAATCCATTGATCCCAACCAGCTGAGCTCCACTCTCTCCTTGCCCATTCCTCTGCAAACACTTCTAAATCCTCTTTACCCTTAATGTCCTTTCAGTAACTTGCTCCTTCAAAATGTCATGGAATTTGACACAGGCATGAGAGAAAGTTTTGTAGACACGGTGCTGGAAGGATGAGTGTCCTCATCCCTCCATGTGTGGGGCTGCTGCAACTCCTCAGGGAGGGTGGAATGCTGTTATGACAATGGCCCTGTGCTCCTGCTGCACCACTAAAAGCACCCTTGGAAGCATCTTAACAGGGACCAAAACAGAGGCTGGTTACCACCCAACTGCACAGAAAGAGCAGAGCCATTTGTAACGTGGGGACTTCAACACTGATGTGCAGAGGCCATATTAAGGAGCAAAACACTGCACCTATGCACTTGGTAAGTGTCTCAACTAAGAACTGTCATTCACCGGAGGATGTTTAGGGCAGGACATCTCTCATTACCCTTTTAAGTATCTGCTGTAGATTCTCAACAGTTCCACCTTCATCAGTTCCACATAAACACCCTTTGCACGAGTTTTTCCTTAACTCTGCAGTTTTACTTTGTTTGACACAAACTTGGCACGAAGCTCCGGCTCCTGACCCACAGCAAGAAGTTAAACAACACTGCTCGTTTGTAACAACACGGCTGGTTTGTAACAACACGGCTCGTTTGTTTTTAGAAGGGTCAGGAAGTTTCCAGTTTCAGGCTCATCAGTGTTCGGGGTGGAGGGGAGCAACATGTACAGTCCCAGCTCAGGGACGTTCAGTATTCAACCGCTCTGCAAAGAACAGAGACCTGGCAAAGATGCACTTCCTAAACTGCTCTTTTTATTGGTTTATTACATGAGGCCACATCCACAAAACCAGATTTTTGGTCAAGAGTTCACTACTTATATAATACTGACTCCCAGCTACCTGTTTCAAACAATATCCTCTATCTCCTGGGCTAACAAAAGGAAAATGACTGAATTCCCTCAAAAGACAAAGCAGACTGCATGAAAATAGTGGAAAAGAATCTCATTCCCACACTAATGGTAGTAGAGAAGAAACATAAAGGCAAACATATTTTGTTTTTATCTTTGTGCCTTTTATCATGATTGTTTCAGATAGCACCATCACTATTGTGACAGTTATTTCTAAAATGTGAAGTAGTATGAAATCTAAAGTGGAAAAGTGTCTTATAAGTTGTTAAAGCATCAGCATGCAAAGATGACTTCTAGATCAAATTTATTCCTTAGCAGGCTAGTTTTGAAGGAATAAACAGTACAGTTCCAGACAACCACCTTTTAATACAAATTAATATTAAAAAGTTACTTATTTAGCAACTATGCACAGTGTCAGGTTCCACATAATTTGCTAAGACTCAAAAGTCAACCAAATTTTTTAAACTGTTGAAAATACCCCGGTTACAGGAGGTTCTTAAGCGGCTCCAAGGTGGGAGTCATGATTCTTTTCTCTTACACAAATTTAGACAACTGTGTTCTCTCTCCAGCCTCCTGGCCATCTGTAGAGATGAGGAGGTGTGTACAGATGTGGGCTCAGAGCAGAACAAGCTACTTCTCTGAGCTCATATTTTTGGCAGTCACCAATTTCACCCTCACCCACCAGAAGCAGAGAAGTTATCAGTTTTGTCTCCCCCCCTTTCCCAGTATTTGCCTTTCTTCCTGGCTTTTCTAGAACACTTGTCACCATATTTACTGGAGTACAGTTATCACTGGTTTTAAAATAACAGTTTTTCTAAGACGGAGAAATATTTCAGATCTTTACAGGGGAACTTCAGGCACAAAGAAATTAAATCGTGCGGTAAATCAGCGGCAGAACCTGAAAAGGGGCCAAATGCTCCCCTAATCAATACTTGCAGGTTAATCACAGAGTTGCTCAGTGCCTGGTATTGAAGGGTTTTACCCACTGGGCTTTTTAGCAGTTTCCAGTTTTGGAAGGAATGCTCCCAGTTCTCCTGGATGCCCCATCCCCGTTACCCCTGTAGGCAGCAGCGCATTTCAAGGCTGGTGCTGCTCTTTAAGGTCACCCAAATGGCACAGCTGATGACTTGAAAGGAACAGATTAAGTCTCTGTATGACTGAAGACTTGGACAGCATGACTGGGTAACCAAAGAAGCCCTAATCTGTTTGCCAAGTCCAATTATCCAGACATGGAATCAAGAGATCATGAAGCATTAGGACACTGAATAACTGCTCACCAAACAGCTTCAGCTCTCTGGAAAGATGACAATCACTAAGAGTCTATGACATGGAAAAGAGGTCCTTCAAAACAGAGGTGGGGAGAAATCAAGCCTTGGGCATTTATGTTTTCCTCTCATCTTGTGTTGAGCTAAACCAGCTAAAGAGCAAAGGGGAAGAAATTGGGATTGGAAGTAGAAGAGGAGTAGAAATCCAAATGTTCTGAGTCTGTATGAATGCATTTACAAATTCCAGCAGATACCTGAGATTACATCTGGGATCTCGTTTCTCAGTTTAGCGAAGGTCTTTGAAGCAAATAAGATGAGCCCAAGCTCCTTCCCTCCAGTGAGAGTCCAGGCACCGGCTGCAATAGGTTCTCAGGTAGGATTTCAGCCTGGTTTACTTAAGGGGAAAAAAAATCTCCAGTTCTCACTGCACTTATTGTTCAGCAAAGCAACTGCAGAAGCCAAGAATTGAGGCCATACAAATTCTTCTTTCTCTTTGTTTCAAGGTGAGGAGTTACATAAGTAACATTCATCTAAAGTGTTGCCCATTAGCAGAAGACCCCACCTAAGCACATCTTTCCTGTCTTTATATACAAAGAAAAATTAGCCAGTCAGGTTTCTGGAATCCACTGTAAAGTACAGCCCAACCCGAAATGTCTCTTACTAACCTACTCTAAATCAGTCCAGGCGTGGCCCTGGGGTGCACAACTGCCACAATATACAGTGTTATGGGGCCAAACACTTCCCACATTTTCATGGGTACCTGCTGTTCCTCAGTTTTCTCTACAAGCACATTATAGTCTTCCATATTGTCCTTTATGGATTCCTTGCAACCCCTTCAAATGGCCTGCTTGAGATCCATGTTCTCTCCTTGTCCTGTCACACCACACTTGTGTGTATTCTCTGGTACTTCACTCCCTGAAGTCACAGGCTGTGCACCTACAGCTCCCCTTTCTATTCCAGAGCCCTTTCCATTAAAGTAAATATCCCCAAATTGTCACATTAGACATACAGCAATCAGGCAGAGCAGAGAGGGAAAAGTAGAAAAGCACTAAGTGCATGGAGGGTCAGGGAGCAAACTACAGCCCCCAGATCCAGAGAAAAAGAGCAAGCTGCCACATGCAAAGAACTGCCCCTTCAGCACAAATTTATCAAAAACCAGGAATAAATGACTGATTTTTCTACTTGTCTTCATACTGGAAAATGGATGTCTTCACCCAGACTGAGCATCAGTCACACACCTACCAGAACATCACAGAGCCTCCTCAGCTGGAAAAACCAGCCACGCAGGTTGGGCCATTGCCACCTCTCCCACGTGGCCAGAGAATTTACACATAAACAGCTGTTCTGTGCATTCAACTTCAAAACTGATCCGATGGTAACACACAGTTACTCAGCAGATCCACTGATAACACGTCAGTTGTTGTGGTTAATGAAAACCTGCACAGCCCAGTCCATGGATCCAACCTACACCAGGTGATCACACTGCTGCTCTGTCAGAAACACAGCACCAGCTGACACTGAGAGCCATGGGGCAGGCAGCTCCAATGCTCCTCATTTTCTTTTTTAATATGAGCTGTAATTGGTTTTTTGAATGGGCCTATTTGTACTGTCCTAACCAGAGGCCTTCACCCAGTCTCCAGGTGATGTGTTTGGTCCAACTGCTCCCTGTCTTGCTAAGCAGGCTGTAAAAAGACCTTTTAAATCAAACACCTCCTTTAGTCAGGCATATGGCAGCTGGCAAGCTTAAAACACCCCCTACTTCAATAATATTAGACAACAAAATTCAGTGGAGTGCAGCATGGTGGCTCGTTTCCTTGATGACTTTGGTACACTCTCCTTATGGAGAGAGATCATGTTTATGGAAAGGGTTAAATTGCTAACAGTGGCTGCTGCACCATAACAAAAACCAAAGCCTGCAGCAAGTAATGAAAATTTTTATGCCTCCTCCATGACTTACCACAATCCACAGTTACAGGACCCATCACCTTTCAAATACAGACTAAAAAAGGTGTATTGGTTCCACAGTACCACTGGAACTAGGTGAAGCCATTTCTTGGTAAACTCTCACTGGAAGCACTCGGAGTGCTGGATGCCCAAGAAGACCCTCCTGGCAGTCTCAGCCTGTGCAGGGCCAGTTTTGGCACAGCCCATTTGTGGGCACACAACCCGGCGGCACAGGGGATGTGGGGTTGGCCTCCCACACCCCTGGGGGCTCTTGGTGCCTTTCCAGAAGGCAGGTGCTGCCAGCTGAGAACTGGGATAAGGGAAGACTTTGTTTGGGGTCATTCTCAACCCAGGCCGACAGCTCAGGAGAAACATCTCCCCATGGAACATCATCCCTGTGTCTCAGGGAACACTAAAGACTCCTGAGGGCCCAACACTTGAGACGCTGTGCCAACACTCCAGTCTGCTCTGTGACAAGTCAAACAAGGAATGTGTTCAGTGAAAGTGTCTCCCCCCTCCCAAGAATCAGAGGGAAAAGAGAGAAGAAAAGGCCCTAAACTAAGCCTGCCCTTTTCTGCTCCTACTGGGGGGCAATTTCTGTGAGGCAGCACCAGTTTCTCACCACTGAATTCATTTACTGCCAAGCCAAGTGCCAAGTTCTGCCTCAATCACTATTTCACTTCAAAGTTTAAGGTCTAAAATCGTAATCAACTCTGGTTTATAATATTTCTTCAAGTTCTGTGACATCTCGTGGCTACCCACAAGAAAGAATGTTCTTCCCAACCAGATATTCAAACATTTAATTTTTCAATATAGTCAAAGTAAATGCACAAAAAGAACAAGAAGCAGCAAAATTTAATTTACTGGGATAGCCATACATACCCCAAGTTTATTTTCTTTTTCAGCATACAATTAAGAGTAATTTAATTCCCCTACGTAGGCATTACATGAAAGAGAAACATTACTGTGAGAAGAGCTCAGTACTATTGGTACACAAACCTTACGACAGATAAATTAGACCTTAGGAAAACAGCATATAATTTACATTTTGTTATGTCAATCACCAGCAGCATCTTAAGGCTCTTAAACACCATGCCAAACCACAACATAAGGGAACTAATGTAAATTAACCCATGTGGCAGGATCACTTCAGTTTCCACAATCCAAGAGATCCCCTAAAATGGATTTCATCAGATTATTCCTCTTCAACATCCATTTACACCTTTAATTTGCCAGCATGTTACGACAGTATTTTACTATAAGAGCTACGAAGTTGTGCATAGTTTTAGAAAAATCAACGGTGTAAAACAAGGACACGAATTAATCCCTGGCCTTCCCTTGAGAAGCCAATGGGCAAATGTGCAGGTGGCCCTGAAAATCCCCCCTTGGATTAGTCCCAGAGTTCTTGGGTTCAGCAGAGAGACAGAAAAGGACTGTGCTTTACATCCCTTCCCCAAGAGCAGAACAAATGACATACCCTGGGTTTGTTCTCTCCTACAGCACCTCATCCACATTCCAGCTCTGCCCGGGAAAGGTCAGGATGGGCTTTGCAAAGGAGAACTGTGAGCAAGGCAACAGCCCAACGCAGACCCAGGATTCTCCGTCCTCTCCCATTCCAGGGTGTTTTAGAGGGAGACCACCGGAAACACAAGGTAATTTAGCTACGGAATAGAGCCCAAAAACCCAAAGAGCAACATGTTTACTCACTCCTATAATTCACAAGGATTCCTGTGCAGGTTTTTTGTTAAAGGACATGAATTGAGGTTTTCAGAGAAGTTCAATGGGAACACTGTCCCTCTGTGAGCTGGAACAGGCACGAACTGGGACTGTTCTCTGCCATCAGCGCTCCGTGAAAAACTTGCACATAAGAAGGAAAAACTACACAAGTGCCAAGAAGTGCAGAAGTACAACTGAAAAAATATTGCCTCTGGCCTTGTAGCTTGTATCAATTATTGCTTTAACAAAAGATTATCAGCAAATATCAGGTAGGGCAGCTCAGGCTTCTGCTTCCTTAAACATCAAGTACAAAGTTTCTGTTTATCAAATCACGCTGCAAGTGCAACAAAGGTACTCAAACTCTGCTTTCCACAGAAAGGTTCGAGACTTAAATTTTTCTGCTCTTTCAATCTGTATCAGTTTTTCCTGTTGCTTTAAACAGGAATTTTCCTTTTGGTTTCATCCCTGCAGCACACTCAGCAGCAGTGCAATCTTCCCTTGCCAACACTGCTGGGTTACAGCGAATCCAGGACACTACAGCAGCCAAGTGCTCCTCATGTGGGTGTTGTTAGCTCAGTCCTCCCTCCCCCAACCCCATAAAATGAGGTACAGACCCCAAAATGCCATGCTGAGCTCTGCTGTTGGCATGGTGAGAGACACCATAAATCCAGGCTCCCCAGGAGCTGGAAGGGAGCCCAGGGAGGTGCTGACTGACCCTCAGCCACCAAAACCTCCGGGGTACCTCTCCCTCACCTGCCCCCAGTGCTCCCCCTCACCCAGCCCAGCCTATAAAATACACCAACAGCCACAGTTCTGCTGTTCCCATATTCACACTTACACTCCTTGGCTCCTTGTCGGTGTCTGTGCATCACCCCAACCCAGGACAAACTCCTGTTCTCTGTATTAATACTCAAACATGCTCACCGGGGCTTTTTACACACTCAGGAGCTTGTTATCCAGCCAGAGCCTTTCCCTCTCCCCTCCTTCCAGCCATGGATGTGCTCTTCAAAGAGCTCTATTTACATGCCAAGTTACAAAGTTCAGCTGCTTC